AATAAATACAAAATACCGTCAATTTTAATAAATTTCAAACAAATTAATTTAATGTGAATTCAAAATCATTAGGACAGTGTTGAGGTACTGTAAAATTTTCTGAAGCAGTAATTATAGAATTGTCGTCCAAATAGTCCTTTAGTGAGTAATAGCACTTACTTACTTATCAAGATTTTTAATACTTCTCTTTTAAAATTGGCCAGAGTTAGCGTTTTAATTTTTTCAGGTAGTTTGTTGAATATTTTGGTGGCCATACAGAAGGTACTTTTATTCATTAGTGCAGTTTTGCCATATGTCACTTGGAGTTCCGACTTATTTTTATCTCGTAGTTTTCTGTAGTAACTTTTAGTTGCTAGTTTGTATGATGAGATGTTGGATTTCACGAACATATTTGTTTCGTATATGTACAGAGATGGCAAGGTAAGAATTTTTAGGCGTATGAAATACGGTCGACAACTGTCGGTGCTTTTTAGACCACACATAGCTCTGACACATCTTTTTTGGGCTTTGAATACAAGTTCTCTATGCACTGAATTGCCCCAGTATATTACGCCATATCTCAGTGTTGATGCAGCGTAACCGTGATAGGCTATTAGTAGGGATTCTATGCTTAGTATTTTTGATAGTTTATAAAGAACATAGGCAAATTTATTTAGTTTTTTACATACTTCGTCTGTCTGGGATTTCCAGGTCAAATTATTGTCTATATTAATACCAAGAAATTTAGTAGTAGTATTTGATTCTATTTTTGTCCCTAATGTCAAGGGTTTTATTTGGTGTCCTTTGATAAAAATGCATAATTTTAGTTTTTTCTAAACATATAATTAGATTATTTCTTGCAAACCATGATATAATTCTATTTAATGTTGTATTTATTTCTTTTTCGTAAGTATTGGGATCATCACACTTAATCACTACAGTGCTATCATCGGCGAACAGAACCATGGGGTGGTTAATTTGCCCAGGAAAGTCATTTATGTAATGCAAAAAAAGAAGGGGCCCCAGCACGCTACCCTGAGGAACGCCGTATTTAATTATCTCGCCGGTATTTGAGCATATTTGCTTAATTTCTACAAATTGCTTTCTGCCCGTTAAGTAAGATCGAATGAGATCAATTACATTTCCCCTTTTTTCTTTTTTTTTCGGAATCCCCTCGGATACCACGTCGGTATGGTGGCATGTCGGACTCGAACCGACTAAAACCGCACGCCGTCTCGGGTACTAATAGCCGGGGAACCAGGTATACCCTAGAAAAAGCACATTTCCCCTGACACCATATCTTTCAAGTTTATGCATTAGTTCATTATTATATTCTATCATTATTCATCTATTATATTATATCATTTCAAGTTTATTATTAGGATAGTCCACATAATCAAAAGCTATCTTATCCATATTTGATATAATAGGAAGAAGAAGGTCATGTATCAGTCTGCTCCACTTGGCACATTACCATTAAACCTGTTCAAACAAAAGCATAATACTAGAATCCTCCGTGATAACTTTGTTTGATCCTAATTTTAATATCTTAATAAGCATACAATAAAATAAAACTACTTACAACATGTGTCATATAATTAATTCTAAACACAAACATATTAAGATATCGCCGACGACTAAAAACAATTGTGGGTATTGTTATGCTCATTCTAAAAGATCATTAAGCAAAACGCGAATAAAATTATTACGTGTATGTACTACGCAGCATTATACATCTTAATTAGGCCTTGAGATAATACTCTTTGACTGAGTACATGTGCTCGCCAAAATGTAATCCCGGTGCGGACGGAGGAAGTCCCCGCAATTTCACGCGTTGAAATCTGATGTCATGTTATGAGCTCATGCGCTTCTCAAAAGGAATAGTAACAATACACAATGATAATGAGGCATTCTAATTAATTAATTCTTCATTCAACTTATATCGTCGTTTGTATTCTTCATCTATTTATTATTTGCACCTAGTTACAGGTAATTTAAGCGATCTTAATGTAAAAATATTTTTTTGTTCTATATAGCTAAAATCTTTTGTATAGATAAATACATAACGTATTTATTCTCAATTGTGTTAAATTAAGTTATTAGTTCTATATCACGCAGAAAACTTAAAATGAATTACCACTTAAAATAAATTTAAAATAACTAATATCAAATCACGTAACTAGTAGAGGTAGGTAGACTAGAGGCTAGTACTTGTGGATGGTGCAAAAAAATTAACAATTATACTATATTTATATTTGTGTTATATTATATTCGTTTTTAAATTCGTATGTTGAATACGAGATGTCTAATAAGAAGTCGTATGTGAATTCTTAAATTAACAAAAGACCCAGTATTTCATCAGCCCGTTGCTTGAAGCTAAACCGAATAAGGCTCTCATACTAGTAAACTGGGCTAGGAGTTATTTGAAGATTCTATATTTTTAATTCCCAATATTTATTTGCGTATGCATATACGCAAATAAATACGCACATACAATAAATGTATCGATTAGCCTATAGCAGTCCAATACTGGACATAGACCTCTCTAATTTATGCGTCCATTCAAATCAATCAAGTACACGATCCTATGTCTGCCGTATCTATTCTGAACCAACTACTTATTTAATTTTATTCTTACTTACACAATATACTTAAACATTAATAAAAAATACATGAAGGATTAGTGGGTACAAAGGCGTGCTCAACCCATAATTGAGTTCTCTTCCAGCAAACCTAAGAGTGAAGAAAGGATAGCACAACAAGAGTTCGCTGGGAGAAGGCCGCGGGGAATAGCACGGGCGCCCGCCCGGCCACCAACTACACACGTCTCCGCTCGTCCGCGCCTCTTGCTCGCTCGCATCACAAAATTCTATATAAAAATGATACATCTCCCCTCCTCTACGCTTGATCCATTTCCACCGAAACAAAGCGGAGAGCAAAGCGAATCTGATTGGTTATTCAAAACACATCACCTCTTGTCTCCTATCCTCTCTGCTTTGGTGGATACCGGGTCTTTGTCTGCTACTGCTGGGAAAAAAAAACCCTGATTCGTCTCTTAAAAATACTTAAGGATGGGCATCGCATATTGAGTGGGAAAGAGTATTCCACAGGCGCACCGTAGACACAGTATGAGACTTGTCATAGTGGGTTGAACTATGAGAAGCAGTTCGGAGTAGAAGTCAAGATGAGGTGCGACAATATCTAATTCTGGGGAGAAGATAGAACTACCTTTCTCAAGTCGTCAGTTTACCAGTCTGGAGGACGTTTATATTTACATACAACACAAAAACAAATATTCTGTGGAATTTCTATTCTCATGTACCTAATTAAAATGTTAGTCAGCCTCAGCCTCAGTAATACACAACCGCAGGGACTTTAGACTTCACAAAATTTACTTAATTATAAACGACACGGCTACTGTACCGCAATTAGGAGCTTTAGATAATTTGGTATTTATTCACTATATACCAAATGCGCTATGGCGGTCCAGTGGAATATCAACTAAAGAGTAAATTTATATCGATAACATTTTATTCCTTTATAATGTTTACTTTTGTGGATAAAAAATTACTTCAGTAATCCCCACATAATTTTTACGCTATCAAAACTAAACCGCTGAACTGATTTTAAAGGAATTGGCATAGAGATACTATTATTTTTACATTCGGACATAGGCCACTCTTCACCGCGATAACTGACAAACACGCAGGCGGAGCCGGACAGTTACCTACATCTAAGATTACACAATGCAATATCGATAATAATATACAAAACATACAGAACATCATCGAAATTAATTAGAGAGAGGTATATTAAATACATCTGATTTCTCCAATATAAAAACGAAAAGCCATTGACATAATTACAAATAAGATAAAGTACATGGCATTGAGGAAAACTTATCAAAAATATTTGGATTCAGTAATTCCCCTAGCTCAAGCGAGAGTTAGCAATTCGAAATGGTAGTAAGTCGTTACTTAGTCAGCCACAACTTACATCTCGAACACAACCTTCCAGAAGAAAGTCACAACATATTTATATTATCATGTTGAAAAAATCGTCATATAACTTTAGACCTTTACTTCAAATCATCATAAGACTGAGATCATAGGATGTCCACTTGTCCAACCTCGATGATTTACAAGAAAACCGGCTTAATACAGCCGGTCACCTTTCAAGTGCGCTCTTCATAAGGTTTCCTTTCGAGTGCTTAACATCAATACTTAAAACTTAACGGAAATACAATTACCCTTTTAGTATGCAAATGTTATGGATCTTTTAAAAAGATATTACACGGTGTAAAGTGTAACTATCTAATAAGTTCATCTAAAACATAATGTGTATTTAATCACGTACCTTGACATGGATTTCAAACCACTTCAAGTTCATTAAACCGGTTCGATTATACACTTTTAATTATATAATATTTCGATCTGGCTCTAACTTTTAAGAAACTGTTGAACATTTGTCCACATTTACCTAGTCCATACAGACGCCATCTGATGACTGTCAAAGCGGCTGAGCCAATTTCCATGAATGATAAGTCATTGAGTGGGTTTATTTAAATTACTAAAAATTAAAATGGCGGGTTTTTGGCACCGAAATTTATGTAATATCAAATATCTTTTTTCTAATTATATGTGTATTTTTTTTGTTTTATTGATAACAACCAAAGATTATATAAGAAACGGGGCAAATGCGTGTTTCAAAAATCTGTAAAAAAAATCTTCAAGTTTTTTGTTTAATGAGAGTGCTTAATATATTTTATACAAAATTACAACTTTCTATTACTACTATTATATAAGTTAACCAAGGATCTGATAGAAGGACAGGTAGACATGGCGATACTATAGGATTTCCTTGTTATTTTTTTTTTCTAATCACAATATTGCTAAATTACAATGTTATTTTAAAATTTCAAGTAAACATAAAGTATATGACTACTTGTCGAGTATTGTGAACGATCATAAGCAGTTTATTTATATATGTATATAATTATGTTACCATTCCTATTTTTCCAGGGTATAATTCTCCGTGATTTAGACCACACCGATGCCACCGCTAGCATCACTGCTGGAGGTGTAGGTTTCTCATACGCCAACGTGAGACTGAAGAGTGACCGAGGATCAGGACTTAACTACCAGATCGAGATTTACGTTTAAACCAAAGATAAATGAACTGACGCCTTTTCTTTTTTTTTGTATTTTTAATACTATTGCAATTTAAAATAAATGTCATATTATTCCTTTAAATGAGATTTTTTTATCAAGCTCTTCAAACTAATAAAGCAAGAAACACATAGATTGTATATTTAATCCCTAAAGCAGCCTAAACTATATATCTTATTTCTGTAGCAAGGGGATAAACTACACTCAGCAGTTCTATACCTATAAGAAGAAATAAAAGAGACCTGGACTTTTGATACTGTAGGTGGAGGCCTGTGTGAGATTGCTCTAACTATGGCATCCGCCTACGAAAAGACAAGCTATATATTTGGACGATGCTGTTTGGAACGAGGTGTCCTGGGGGAACCAAGCTTAAGCTGAAATGTTAAACTTATTTCTCTCGTCGCAGCTCCGATATTCGGTGCATGTACGGGTTATTAGTTGATCCGATTCGAGAATAAGGTTGAACGAGAATTCGTAAATTCATAACAATTCATAACATACCCCAACAAAATAAAACAGATTTCCGTTAATTAATTACTACTTCTTAGTATATTGAATATGTGTTTCTATTAAAGTTAACATACCTAATGTATTGATATTAAAATTGCTAAGAGAAGCGTTACTAACTGAAATACAGATAAAAGTTATCTAGTTCAGACACAATTAATTATTTACAATGTCTCTTGCGTCGACACACAGGTGTCAACGCAAGAGACATCAATAAGTGGTTAATAAATGTAAGATAATAATAAATAAATATTTTTTATCTTTTATGCCTTCTTGTTTTCTTATTTTGCTTTCCTCACTACTGTGTTCTAAATATCTGTGTAAATCTAGCAAAATAAACTGACAGGCTTTTAGATCTAGTGATTAATGATCCTAAAGACTAAGCTAGAGATTATAGATTTAAATCCCAACTTGAATAGTCTTGAAATGAGCACGATCCTTTACAAATATATAAGTATGTTCACGAGTATTAGAAGTCATGTTACTATAGGACCGACTCTGCCTAATTTGGGATCAGACTTGATTAGACAGCTTTTTTGTTATAATTAGTTTTTGTGTGGAGGGGACAGAAATTCTCGACGACTTATGACTCAAAATGATCTGTTCAAAATTGGTAGCGATTACTAACAGAGTTAATCATTACTGTAGTAATTTTTATATAGTAGGCCAAGACCTTCTAGCTTGCAAGCCAGTCCAAGCCAGTGCAATTTCCAGCAATGGACTAGTAAAGGCTGTTAATGATAGAATACAAAAGTGAACATAGTAATTGTTTTAACCGTAAATTATACACACTTATAGAAAAAAATATGCGATAAACAATGAAGTATTATAAAACCTTTGGTTACTGTACAAGTCTCGCATAAAATTATCTCAACCTTCTCGTGTTTGCCGCGAGTTGAACATTTTCCTACAAGGAAAAAAATATCCTCACGGCAGAAGCAGAAGCAGACCTTCACAGACTTGGTACAATCCAGTTTTATCTTATACGATATATGTCTATCAAAACAAAGAACTTCTTGTTGTAGGCTATATTCTATATATTTGGAAACTTATGTATATATTTACAAAAAAAAAGTATATAAGTATTCTATCGTAATGTATCTAAGTATGAATTTAGCTTTGTTATTTTTACAAGCTCTGTTTAGTTTAAAACTAGATGGCGTTGTATGTCAGATGTCCAAAATATTATTATAATTTTTAAGTTATGCAAGCCTGTTGTGAACAATGATCATTACCTGATCTCTGAAAATATCTTTACTTATATGGTCACCTATAAAAAGTCTTTACTGATATGGGTGATTAAATAGTAAATTACTCAACATTTTGTTACTGTTCTGACTCGTTAAAAATTACCAACAAAATTTATCCAGAAAAATATCGATAGTGCTCATCATTGAAATTAATATAATAATTGATTGACAGACGTCCGCGAGGACACCATTACTCTTTTAAGATCTCATTAGTGACGCTGTTCGGTATCCCCTTGGTCTTGTGGCTTGTAGACATCCTGATTTCGGCAGGGAGGGCACTCCAGAGAAGAACTGGCTATACGTAGAAGGAGTTGATGAAGTTAGAGGTGTAAGGGGATAGAAGAAGCATATTGTTTTCGGTTGTGATTGGAGCATAAGAAACGGAAGTGGGTACAAGGTATTCAGGTAACGATGGAGAGTTAAGGAAAGAAAAGAGTGAAGTCAGTGCTCGCAAACTGCGGTGACGAATTGGGAGCTATTGCAGCTGGGAACGTAAAGCAGACACTTGGTCATACTTGCGAAGATTGAAAACGAATCGAATGCAGTTATTGAGAAGTCGATCTAGTTTATTGAGGTCTGCATTCAGGTTAAAGTAACACACATCAGCATAGTCGAGTAAAGGAATAATTAAGGACTGCATAAGCGTAGCCTTAGTTTTATTATTTGCTTCCTCCCCACGACGATCACTTGACATTTGATTTGTCGGTACAAACCAAACCTCGTTGACCAGCTCTTTATAAAGTTCAAGTCTTTGTTGACTTTGTCGATGGCGTATGTTATGTCCTCAACCCTTGACTGTGTGTACACTTGTAAGTCATCAGCGTACAGGTGATGACACTGAAGGTGTTGGGCAATGAGTTTAAAGAATATTGAGAATAAATAATAAGAGAGATAATACACCGCCTTGAGGGACGCCAGTGAGAAGATCACACCAACTCGACGATAAGTCATCGATATGAATACTCTGTTGTCGTCCCTGAAGATAGGAGAACCATTTCAGAGCTTCAGAGGAGATCATAAGATAGGAAAAGATGACCAGTATAACGTCATAACTAACGATATTAAAGGTATTCAAGAAATCAATCAAAGCCAGCACTGGCTTAAGTGTCATCGATGCCCTTCCTGATATTGCCAGTCACTCTGAGGAGAGCGGTGGTTATGCTGTGACCGGGTCTGAACCCAAGTTGTAAAGGACTAAGAAGATACTTCTGATTTACAAGAGTGAGAGCTGTTTATGTACACAGGGCTCTAGCATTTTAGAAAGGGAAGTATAGAAATAGAATAGAAATTGGTCGAAAGTGTTCGCTGAGAGAGGGGTTAGTTTTTTTGGGTAAAGGGATGATGAAGGCCGTACGCCAAAGTGTCCCTTGATCCTTGATCAAGGTTCGAGAGACGAGTGAAACGTTGATGATATGACATATTGTTGGAAGAACGTGATCCAGGGTAGTAACAATCATGCGACTGCTGATACCGTCACATCGGAGCATTGGAGCGAATGGATAGGATAACCTTTTTGATGTCCTCAGAAGATACCGGTGACACTCAAAGGATTCAATATCAGGATGGGTTAGACTAGCTACATAGCTCAAGGTTTGACACTTGGTTTGATGATATTAACCCGGCGTCAGCATGGTAGAAAATAGGTACAACAACTGCATGATGGGTCATAATTACCCAGATTTTAAACCGTAGCTAATTTTTACAATTTCAATGACATTTAGAGCAAATTTGTGTTTAACTTGAAGAATAGTTCTTAAGTTATAATATTTCGGAGACAAAATAAAAAAATAAGTTATATAAAGATCTTTTTATGTATTTAAGAAGTCGGTAAAAAATTTACAAAAAAAAATCAACTTCTAGAAACTTATTAATAAAAAATAAAAAAAAGACTAAATAACACTTATTTTTAACTTTTTGGAATGACAAATATGAGATCTTTAAGAAAGTATATGTAAAAATTTTAAAGAATCTTAGGGTTAATCACTATTAGCCTCGTCATCTACGCAACCGCCACAGAAGGAAATTATATGTTCAGGGCAGATGAATTTGTTGCATCTTTGACAGGTATGGGTAGTTTTCCTGTCTTTTTTAGCGGGGCATATCTGGCCTCGTTTACGAACACCACGAACTTTAGCAGGGGGCACCTCTGATGATTCTCCTGTAAACTCTCTTATTCTCTTGCGCATCTCCTTGCGAGCGCTCAAGTGATCATTTATAAGAGCAAGACATTATCTTTACTCTGATTCGTGAATTTATATATCTGAGAATAGCGTCCAACATTTCACTATCGAAAAAAATGTTCCAGCACTCCTTTTCAGATTTAGCACATCCAGCTCCAGACTGAACTCCTGGCGTAAAAGTAATAATATGTTCTGATCGGATGCGAAAATTTTGTCTAAAAGGTTTATTGCGCCATATTGTACCATCTTTACCATTATAAGTTGAAATCAGTACCTCATGATTCGATGTTTCTGCATCCGATGAATTGTGCTGATTAGATCTACGTACGGAGGAATACACTTGACGTTGGATGACACTCAAAAGTACATCATCATCATCATTTTCTGATGCCTCTTGCTCGGTATCACTCTGTTGAGAACGCTCGCTAACGTGATAATCTTCCTCGCATTCCGAAGAATTTTCACCTTCTTCCGAGTCGCTTTCTTCTAATATTGACAGAATTCGCTGCCTTTCGCGTTCCTCTTTATTGATTATTCAAATATAACCTTAAAATAACAAAATATAATGTCGGTACAAATAAATAAACGAAATAATCAAATAATGAAGTCAACGTATTTGGCACGAAATGGTATCATCGAATGTATAGTTGGGTCATATTTACCTTTTTGTTGTTTGACCGCGTCTATCTTCCTGTGCAGGCGCATACCGTCTAAGTTGACATAAGAAATGAGGGAGGCGGGGCACTAACTGCAGCTACTGAGAAGCGTGATAATGTTACACTATTATTTTCTTAAATACCCGCATTTAAAATCATCACGGGTCATTATGACCCAACCTAGCAGACGCCGGGTTAAAGATGGAGGATATTAATGACCCATGTAGCCTAAAACTACAAAATGGTGTCACACTGTCATTTCGCGGACGATACAGTTCTATTATTCTCAGCCAAGTCACGTCTTGAAGTATATGAACATGCACAGAATGGCTTTAATGAGGTATCATATTGGCTTCATAAAAATCTACTGACCTTAAATGCGCAGAAAACAAAATACATTT